CGCATAACGGAATGTGGGTAAAAGCAACAGTTAGCAATCGGAAAAAAGTCTAAATTCCCACTAGTCTTGAATGGTTACGTACACATCTTAACGAAGCTGAGAAACCCGCCTTAAGAAGATACCGCCACCAGTAGACCATTCCGGCGGACACCAGCAAGCATTGTAATAGTACTGTGAAGATCAATAGTTTTAGTCCTGTGTAATCCTGGAGTTCCTCCTCCCCTGCCCGAGGCTTAGTCCCGATTTAGCGAAGAGGAAATGCTTACACAGAAAAACGCAGAGATCGCGCGCGGCGACTGCCCCCCTAGCCACATTGCGGCGCCACTACTACAAATGAGGTTTGAGATCAAACAGCAAATAAAATTGTGGCACAGGGGCAAGACCAAGCCTGCACCCTTCATACCCGGCGGCCAGGTGCGTGTCAACTGCAGACTTCACAAAATAAGTGACGACGGCCTCCACAAAGTGTCCAATTTCTAGCCGCGAAATGATTAGCCGGTTACAACTGTATTCATCAAATGTCACTAATCAAAACTACGCATCATTTATCAACCATTAGTAAGCTACTACTAGCTATCAGATTTTTTTCGAAGGTCGTCATCACTTGTGTTGTGTAGTGTGTAGTGCAGACTTCTCTGGCTACCGGACAAAAACGGTTCAGATTTCTGGAAGACGATCTGGAGTGCTGTAATGAGCCAGGTCCTCCAAATCTTGCGCAACTACAGAGTGTCAAAACCGCACAACTGTTGAATATTACAGAACCTCGGGTCAGACATGGCGGCTTGGAAATCTCCTTTACTGCAGCCATTACTAGATTCACTAAAAACACTTTGAACCCTAAAAATTCTACGTACCCTTCCATGCTGCTTTCACCAATATGAACCACTTCCCAGGCCAGGCTAAATGTGCATCCCTACGCGCAACTTGGTTTTGTACCAGTATACAAAAAGAGCAGTAGAAGGTTGTAGACGGCCGCGGTCGAATTATAGACGACGCCGACTTTCGCATGGCAAATGCACCCGAAAACAACTGCATGCCTCACCAAAACAACTCGGAAACAAGAGTAAATTATAGAATAGGAATACTTTTTTAATGGCAAAAAAATTCAAAAGAACGTTCTAACGAGAGGGAGATTGTCGCAAAGGATACGATGGAACTGCTTGATCCGGTTGACGTTATGAACAATTCAGCTACTTCAGGGCTCTTGTGGTTCTACCAGCGCTATTTGTCGACACTCCCTTGAGAAGTTGTGTAAAACTCAATTTCTCATTTACTCCGTTCTTTTGCAGCAGAAAATTCTTTATAAAGTGATATAAGGTCCCGAAAAATAGCGACCGCCCCGAAACAATAGTCACCAGGGAAAAATTATGGGGCCCGCCACAGCTCGCCAGTTGACCACAGTAAACAAAGGACTGTCGCCGTACAATGCTTGAACATGATATGACCACCATTGCTTGTGATAGGAAATTAACGGGGATTTGTAGAGCGTTTCACTATTCGATCGATTCCTGCCACTAATGTTACAGTCCCCCATAGGTTTTAGCGTTTATGAAAGTACGAATACTTCGAGCCATTCTGTAGCACCTTTTACATCCCTTGAAGGTTTCATCCATGTATGTATGACACATACTCTACACATGCTTACACGTGCCCATCCCAGCCCAGGAAAGCTATGATTTGTGCAAAATCTCATGCAAGGCTTCCAATTTTTTAGTTCACTATATTTGAGGTTCGTTGTTGAATTCAGTGTCGGTTATTTCATCATAAAATTGCCATTGAACGATTGCGACCACAAAATCATTAGCGTGGCCGTGAAAGTCCTTAGCCAACATTCATCAAACATCGCAGCAAATCTGAGCGGAAAACAAATGCGGTGCGTATACCAAAAACGGGCTGATAGCTAGACTCCTTCAGAATGTTACTACCGCTACGCTTCAAAGCTGTAGGTGCTTATAGCCTAAGTA